TTTTCGCAGCATCGAGCGGATATGATCGAGTAGGACGAGGTTTTGCTATACTTTCTCATTCTTAGTTCAACACCTCTGTTCAGCTATTTGAACATGATCTATCTGAAAAAAGAGGCCACTCGTTGATTGAAAAGTACAACTCAGCTTCTCCTCAATCCGTCATGAGTATCACGGTCACTAGGACAAAGAACCCTAACTCGACACCCAAAATCTGATTTCATTTGTCGTTTTCATCAAAAACATCTTTCAATTCAGTTTATATAAGAAAACACAATGATTGAATAACACTCGAGACAATTCTCGTTTTTCAGTTGCAGAAGGCGGCTCCACCGTCGCAGAAACCACCATTCGAATAGCCTTTTGAGGCGCAACAAGCGACGACGCCACTCTAAAATGAATATTTTGAAATGAAATGAAAAATTGTGGAAAACCAAACTCAATTTTTTGAAATAAAGTTTTATCCCGCTTATTTATAATCAATCAGTGTTTGTAGTAACGAGTCAGAGTATTTTTCAAATTCAGAATTTAACTCACCGGGCAAGAGGAGTCGCATGCCGGGACGGCAACAGCGTTCACCATGGAAGAAGAGGCTAAAATCTTTCATTTCTTTCCAATTTACATGCTAGGGGCCCATCTTTTTAACAAGTCAAAAACTTCAAGCAATATACATGATAAGAATTGAGCTAATTGAAAGAAAACTGGATTCAGCATTTGATTTCTAACCGTATGTTACTCTGAGAAGATTAATTTATTTAAGCTTGAACCCACTGAAGACGAGAAGAACGGCGAAGAGAAGAACAAGACAAGAGGAGAGAAGACGCATTGTTTGGGTTTGAAGCTGGGAACTGATGCAAGATGGAGATCTTTGTGAGTCTCATTGTATTTATATGGAAGCTGGATTTGATAAGCCTCTCGACTCGATTTGATAAGCCTCTCGACGACGCTCAAAAACTTTATGAGCAAATAGATAAGGCATTCTTGAATCGAGTTTTTGGTAAAATTTTAGGAGCCGCAATGTCGGATGGAGATAAGCCTTCTGGGTGGGCTTTTTGCAAGGAGGGAGTATGCAAAGGATAATAAAGTTTTTTGGGTGGCTATGGCTGAGGGCTGGTTTGCACACAAAATACCATATGAGATCTAGTTTGTATCATTTGTATCTTGCCTCAAAAAGATGACTTTTGAGAGGTTTTGATCAGCTCTTCGGAAATTCGTCAAGATTGACAGAAACAGAAAAGCGCCGACTTTACGGTATCTTTGGAAAGGTACTTATTTTACTTTTTCCAGCGAAAGCTTTCAACTTTTTCGTTAAAAAAAGGCTATTCGACTTTTGTACTTTTCCTTTTCACTCATTGAAGCGTCTTTTTTTCAGGTAGACCATGTTTAAATAGCTAAACAAAGAATTCTATTGTCGATTCCCTCTTTTGCCTTTGATAACGAGACGTTGAAACATCTTAAAAAGAGGAGAAGAGGGAAATTTTGCGGCCAAAGTCCTTCAGCTAAAATCGCCAAAAAACACTAGCTTCTTTTTAAATTTTTGTTTGAATTCATGATGGAAATTGATAAGCTTGACTGCCATTGCATATATAGAAAAAATATTGCATTTGTCGATTTGCAGGTTGGTTTTTGTGTTTGCATCTAAAGGGAAAAGCTGAAGGTTGAACACTGACAAGCGGGTTTTTTGAGTTGCAGTTTTTTATCTTAACTAGACTATTTTATAACTTTGTTTTAGATAAAGCTCAAGCCTGGTTTTCCTCGGCTTTGTTCTCATAAATCGTGCTATTCTGGTCTTCTTTCTAAGTTACATAGCCGAGATCCTCCAGTTTCATTTTCCAGATTCATTTCTATCAAATTGTTCGGAATTTTACGTATTCGTATTGTACAATTGCTCACAATCACCAATCATAAATGGGTTTTTATTTAAAAGCATCAATGATAAGAGTTGGAAATGATAAGAGTTGTCGCTTGTTTCGACGTCTTACTCATCCCAGTCTTTTGTTGATCACAATAACATAAAGAAAAGAACTTCTAGAGAACCGGTTGACGATACTAAAATCAGAAAATTTAATCTTTATCATTTCTTTTATGAAATCTCACCTCTTTTATGTAAATGATGATAATCCATGCAGCAAAAGTCGCATAAAAGTTTGTGCCCAATTTGAGGAGCAATTGAAAGATTTGAATCGGAATCCCAGGCCATTTCCAGGAGCGATTCTCATATTGGAGAATATCGTAGAGATTGGGAAGTGAAGAAATGAGGCCAGCTGGATCAGTCCGATCTGAATATTTTAATTTCTCGTTAAGGTTACCAAGAGCGGGGTTGGTGAATGTAGACTAACGGTTTTCTTAGATAAATGCCAATGTGAAGTAAATGTGAAGACACTCTACCCACCAAAGCAGATGCGGAGCTCCAAAACCCTTGAAATCGCGAAAGTGTATCCCCACTGATCTCAAGGAGTCCCGGTTGAGTTGGGTCTGATTGACGGCACGTTTCCCCCTTGATTTTTACAAAGGCATTGGCGAACGCTAAAATTAATTTTGTTGAAAGATGTTCTGAATTTCGGGAATGAAAGTGCCAGGATGCTTGATTATTTGTGTTGAACTTGAATACTTGAAAGTGTTCTACGTAGACCAGCCTAGGCTAATGTTCCTTCCAAAAAGAAACTTTCGGACTAGCTCTTGGTCTAGCTTCTAGTCTTACTTGGCCTGACTTGATTTTGCTATAAATCTAGCTTTATTGCAGGTTTGAGCAATGTGATTGTGGTACGGACAACAACTTAAAAATCTGAAAAAGTTGAATTGAAAAAGCTGTGAAAAAATATGTGAAGAATTCGAAGAGATGTTTTAAGGGATGTCGGTGGGTTTTCAAGTTTTAGCTAGATCTTCTTTGTCTTTGTCTCTAGGCAAACGGATCCCGTGCGAATGTATCTACATGTAATGAAATTTCGGTCCCGATGCTCGCCCGGGATCCCGGGAGCCCGGGCGAGCATTCGGATTGTCAACGGTTTGTCGAGGAAGAGAGGCGGAAATTACTTTTTATTAAGATAAATCTATTTATTAAGATAAAAGAATATGCAATCTGCCTAGATTTATAACTTTAGTGACCAAAAAATACCTTTATTGAACCAATAATTTGAGACAAACAAAGAGAAGAAGAGAGAACACACAATTTGACACACTTTGCCCGTTACCCCTATCACCCTTGTTACGCAAAGGTTGTGAAAAACCCGCTTGGTGGGTTCTTGGCGAACTCTAGCTCTAATTCTAGCTCTAGTTCCAGCTCAAAATATTCTTTAGTTGGTATCAAAAGTGTCGCGGCGTTTGGGAAACTTTTGAAAAAATAACGTTTGGGAAACTCGACTACACCTCGGCCAGGTACTCGAAAATGGCGGCCACCGCTCGTGCGCGGCATTTTCTATGGATACGAGCCGCTGGTCGGTCGGTTTGAGTAACATTAAAGGGATTTTTGCCTCAAGTTGCAATAAAAGGAGAATTTCAGATTTCAACGTTTAAAAATTGCTGTTTGAAAAGTTTTTAGAAAAGAAAATGTTAGATTTTGCTTGATTTTAAAGAAAGTTTATTAGTTTTTAAAGAAATTATTTTGCGTTCAAAAAAGGGCTTGAAAATTTTAAAAAATTGATTAGAAAGGTAGATTTTGAAGCAAAAGAAAATGGCTTTTGAAAAGCTTTTTTGGTTTTTTCAAAGTATGCATTGGAAGTGAACCTTATGTGGACCTCTTATAAAGTTATCCAAGTCGAGCTTCGATTCGAGTACTCTGTGCCTTGTATTTCAAACATAAAAGTTTTATTTTTTTGCGATAGTTTTGATTCTTGCCTTGACACCAATTCCTGGTTTTAAGATGTCAAACTTGACATTGCCTGACTTGTCAATGGTTTACATTGATACCGATGCCAAGACTTTCAAACCCTTGAAAGGAAACATCATTTCATCTCCAAACAACCTTTTTCAACGCCATTCACAGCAGATCACTCCAAACACAATCCCATTTTATTACCTTCAAAACATTGACCCGCTCAAATGGCCTTATCTACATTCTTCTTCGAGTTTTTGGGTAGGATCTAAAAAATCTACAATTCTAGAAAATCTAGAAAATCTTTAGTAGTACGAGTAGTCTTAATAGTTTACGATCGAAATTTATTTGTTAACGAGGATTTACTACATAAGAATTTGCCACATCATACTGTATACAAATGAACTGTACCTAATACACTTTCGAGACGGTGAACTCATAAACTCATAACCATAAACTAGTGTCTTTTGCTAAAGTTATTCAAACTCAGTCTCATTTCGACCTATCACACACTAAGTTTCTCGAACTCGAAAGAGATTAAATTTGACTTGTCAAACTTGACGTTCACGTAAATTGTCAATCGTTTCAAAAGGAAGCCGGTATCAAAGTGCCTTGATTGTGAAAGCTGAGATAGCTTTTTACTGTTTATAGATACTATAAAATCGTTAAAAATTCTTTTACTAGTATAGAAAGAGTTGCAAAAATGTTTTTGACAGAGAGGGGACTTGAACCAGGGCCATGGATTTGACCCAGCGGCACGGAGACCGAGCACACTAGCCACTACACCATTCAGTTACCGGGGGACAATCACCATTCAGTTACCGGGGGACAATCACCATTCAGTTACCGGGGGGTAGTCGATTATGAATGAGTGGGTCTAGGGGCGTCCAACCATCAAGTGTTTGGTATCATTCAACGCAGAATCATTGATAATTAAGTTAAATTTTTTAAATTAGAAAGATTGAATAAAAAAAAAAAATTACGGGGCTCCAAAGTTTTCTCTCGGAGAAACAGTTTTTTGTTCTAATTTTTTTTCTTTTTATCAAATCTTGCTAATTTGAAAAATTTAACATAATTATCAATGATTCTGCGTTGAATGATACCAAACACTTGATGGTTGGACGCCCCCAGACCCACTTCAGTCATAATCGACTGAAATTCATAATCGGTGTGGTCGTCGTCGTCTAAACTACTCGAAATCTCGAGAATTCCCGTGCGATCTCTTGGCTATCAATGTCTCCATTCTCTCGCACATTTGCCATAAACGAAGACCATTCTCGGCGGTGACCTGCAAAGGGATTTAGTTAATGGATTCAGGCTTCTAAGTCAAGGAAAACAGGCCAACTCTTGTCCAGATCTTGCCCAAGTAGATGCCAGAGTTCAAGACTAGGACAAGACCAGGCGAGGACTAAATCAGCTCCAATACCCAAAACAACTCAGATCCAGGCTTAGATCTAGATCAGTCCCAAGCCTGGACTACGTCAGGGATCGGACAGGATCAGAGATCAGGTTCAAGATAGCCATACAAAGCCAGGCAAGTAGCTGGTTAGGCCTAATCTGATCTAGGTTATCTAGGTTAGGCTCAGTTTCAGGCCAGGACCAGATTAAACCCAGATTAGATCAGGTTAAGCAAAGCCACAGCCAGACTGGAACCAGCCCTGGATCAGTCGAGGATCTGGTCAGATCCAGGTCAAGTCCAGATCCAGCCAAGTATAGGATCAAGGCAAGTCAAGCAAAGCAGAGCCATGCCAAAGCCATGGTTCTTTAAGGGACAAACCATGCAAAGCCTAAAAGCCTCAATTTTCATTTCATTTACAAACCGTATCAGTGTATTCCTCCACTTGATCTTGATAGTACAGTTTTCCACTGATCAACTCATCGAAATCAGTGGTCGCACAGTGAACGATCCCAGAGATTCCCTGGAAATAAAATTGTGATAGCTATAGTGACCAATTCAATGAGAGAGTTGGCTTTAAAAAGCAAAATAGTTATAGTACTTGATCCAAATGGCTCGCGAAAGCCTAAATAACTGGAGTGGCGATGGTTCGTCGAAAACCAGGATGTCTCTCTTCCCAGATCGGTTCCTTTAATGAAACCGGGACGAACACAGAAAACTTTCACTGGACTTCCTCTTTCTGTCAATCTCCTGAAAGGATCAAATGCTTTGTGAACTTTGCCACCGCAGATGTTCTAAAGCCGGTTACCGTAACCCAGTTCATGCTGCAGTTAAAGCATAACTGAAAGCAAAAAGTCTATCAAGGTCAGCTTTAGAGATATCTAAGGTGACGATAGAGCACTAGCTCTCGTCTGGAAGAAGTTTAGAAGCCAAAAATGCAAAGAAAACGTTGATAGAAACATAGATGTCAGCGCCGAAACACAAACCTTTCCAAATCTTTCACAAAGAGGCAATTCGCGAGTTTACTATTTGCATAGGCAATCGCCGGCTTGTAATCCCATCAACTCTTTCCGGGTACGCATCTCGGTGACCTAAAAGGATTGTTGAGTTAAAATTTTGATCCAAAGATGATACTCAAGTTCAAGTGAAATACCTGTTTATAATATCCACTCGACACAACGATGATCCTTCCATTCTCCGCTTTTTCTATCAATTCGATCAATTGTCTCACCAAGATGAAATGCCCGAGTTGATTGGCGGCAAAGTGAGACTCGACTCCGTTCGTGGTTAGCTAAAGATGTTCAACTGAATTATCTTTAAATTCTTTAAATCTTTTACCTCAAACGGTCTTCCCATCACACCAGCATTGCAAACCAGAACATCAAGCGATTTCAACGCATTTTTCACTTCCGTACAGAAATTGCCTACGGAAATGAGTGAGCAAAGGTCTAACTACAAAATGATCACTTTGAACAGTTGGATTTACTTTGTTAGGTTGTCTATTAGGATGTCCCAAGTCTATTAGGTTGTCACTATTATGGGGCAACCGCCCCATAAAAATCCAGAGATTTTTTTGATCAGTACACACTCACACACCGTTATCACACTATAAAAGCGCGCACTTTAAAGCCCCGAAACTCGGCTTAAAACGCTTTTTCCCAAGCTCTCGTTGTGTTTTTCGGAATCTAAGCATAAAACTACGCTAGAAAGTGATTTTGAAGACAAAAATTAACCACGTTAAATCAATCATTAGATCATTAGATCACAGCTAAGTTAGATCAATTTCTATAGCGACAAAAATTTATATCAATTTCTATCCTCACCTCCAACATCATAACACTTTGCCCTTCCATCGCCACCGCACTCTCTACCACCGTTTCCACCGCTTTTTTGCCCCTTTCCGCTTCTCGATACGTGATAATCACTGAGGCGCCAAGGGAATAGAAATGTTTTGCCGCGTGTAGCCCTGAAAAGTTGAGGAATTTCACTCTATCATCATGGAAAATCTTAAACCCATAAACCATCAACCCACTAAATATCAACCCAATAAACCCATCAACTACCGTATTCTAAAAGTCAAAAAGGAAATAGATTACAATAGAGAAATCATCAATCTTTAGCATCTACGTGTTCTTTAGAGTCATTCCTATGCCAAGGATTGTGCATACTTTGCTCCCCCGGTATGCTTTCTGGGGCAATTTCACACGTTAAACTAAAGCGTTTAATGCAGCAAATCTTCGAATATTCAGTTATCAATTTAACCCGATAAGCAAGTCTATTTCTGATTGTACAAAGAAACTATTTTCAAACTCACCGATGCCCGATGTGGACCCAGTGATGAGCACATTCAATGATGAGCACATCAAACGATTCTCGGGCTCCATTTTTGGTGATCTAAATTGAAAAAGGCTTAGAAATCTTGTAAGTAGCTTTCGATTAGCTTAAACTTTCAACTTTCAAAACAAAAACAAACCCTGTAAAAGTGCTAGATCCAGCGACGAACATTCCCCATTATCTCGATAACCAAGTGGTCCTAAAAAAACGTGAAATGACAGAATTTCGATTAATTTCTGAATAAAATTGAAAAGAAAAGGCGGCTCAAGCAATTTCTGGACGTTATTCAATAAAATTTCATTGTTTTACTTTCAAAAATTTATAAGAATAGTAAGTAAACGATTAAAATAAAGAAGAAATGACTAAAAATAACCCGTAAAGCTAAAAAACCAATATTCTAATCAAAAATATGACATAAATCTTAGCAATAAACTTGAAAAATGCAAAATCTATACAATTTTACACAAAAATCACAAATTTCTATTAATTTCCTGGCTCTTGATCTTTTTGAGCGGCGGCGCGACGAGCCTTAAAAAGCTTAAATTTTAATTTTAATTAGATACATTTTAATTAGATAGATTTTAAATAGATAGATTATTTTATAAATGAAATACTTTAAGCTAGATACTCTAGAGGTTCTAAATGCAATTTTCAGTTTTTGATTTGAAAAATGCCAGCATTTTACTTAACAAAGCTCACCCTCACTCTCCGATTGTGATCCACGTCTTGCACGGCTCTCAACCAACTGAAAATTTCCAACTAATTGCTGACTTTTAAGAATTTTTGATGAAAAAAACTGTTTTATTTTCAAAAATCCCTTTCTACCATTTACCCAATCGCTCACCGATATTCCTCTCGAATCTCGTCTTTTTTGTATTTTATTTTTGTCCCGTATTTTTGTCCTTGAGCTCTTCACATCGTCTCCTCCATGCCTCGTCGACGTCATCTTTCAGAATTTGTGCCAAGTTCATGATCTAAAACGAGCTGACTTCAAGGTTTTGTCTTTACTTACTAGCCAACAAAATGTTTCTTGTTCTTTCAGGAGCTGGAACTAAGTCGAACCAGTTCAGAAGCTCAAGTCCAGGGTTGTTTTAAAAGAAATTTCTTATCGTAATGTTATCCAAGTAGATTTTTATATCCTGTGAGATCCAGGATAAATTTTGGTAAGCGCAAAATTTTGCCAGTACTACGTTTATCCAGAAAATTTATGTAGTGTGCGTTCCATAGTAGCACTGTAGCCTATGTTATTTTCTTAGCATCTCAGATTTCCAGTCATGTAGGGCAGGCTTCTAATTCTGTCGTACTGCAGGCCCAGCCCCGAAAAGTGCCTGAGCCGCTAAGAGCCGGAACTCGATCTGAACCTAGCTTTGCTTACTGCCTAGATTCTGGGCTGCCTGGTGACTTTTTTTTTACTGCAAACCCAGCTCAAAGTCCACTTCGTTCGCTAGAAGCCAAACGTGGACCTAGCTACGGTTTAGCCTGACTTACAAGTCCAAGGAGCCGGTTCAAATTGTGGTTCAGAATTCTTCTCAAATCTCTCCCACCTCTCCATGGTCCTCTCTGATCTCCTCAAATCCATTTTGCCTCAGAAAACTCCTCGCAATCTCATCCTTGTTCACCAGTTTCGCCAGCTCTCTTTCACGAGCATAGAGGTGATATCTGAAATGGACTTGGATTCGGATCGATTCCACAACTTACACATATCCCAGATTGTACAAAATAGCAAAGCCAAAGCCGATCATCGAAACCTGAAGGATCCATTTCCATTGATCATTCGAAGCGGATCTGAATAAAAGCTTTCAATTCAAAAAATGAGTTTCATTTCACCGGAAATCCTCTTCATTCATTCGAGATGAGCCGAAATTCCCGAAACCACTAGATCTTCTGAAAAAGTGTTGAAAAAGCCTCAAAAAATGAAAAGAAACCCCTCAAATTCTTCGTAATACGATGAGCCATAGAAATTTCCCGTACTTGGCCCCTGTCGTCGGCGCTCGCGGATTCTAAAGTTGAACTTAATACTGTGAAAAGTTTTAACTGATCTTAATGCTAGCCAAAACTGATACTTTACCAGTTTTAGCTTACGATAGCGGTTTTTTCGGCTCAATTACCTAACTACTCTTCTCACCTTTCTCCAAAATCGTATGCTCGTCGATCGGCCGGTCTTCTCAATGTATCGTAGGCGTGTTTCAGCTCGACGAAAGCTTTCGTCGCTGTGAGTCGCTCGTTTTCACTAGAGTGGCTCCCATCTGGATGTAACTGGAAAATGAATTGATCTTAAATATACTTGAGTCAATTTAAATTCACGCCACGTTTTCCCGGAGTTTCCCAGGGTCAATAGGATAGATCCAGGTCAGGCTAGTGAGTCTATAGCATAGCCCGAGAATAGGGCAACACAGAGAAGAGCTAGGATTAGGCAAACAAAGCCAGGATAAGATATAAAGTAGGCAGGATAGTCAGGGCCAGCCCAGGGAGGGTTGAATTGATGAATTTGCTTTCGAAATCATTCAAAACTTGTTTTGAATATCAATTTCATAAACTTTTCCTCACTTTTTTTGACTTATCATAGAAAGCGTGTTTGATTTGTTGTTGCGTGGCACTTTTCGAAACTCCTAGCACATCGTAGAGGGATTGAGAGCTGAAAATCGAAAGAAATAATGGGATTTAAATAAAAATAGAAAGGAATCGATGGTTTTTGGTTTAAATCATAGCAAACTTATTTAAACTTATCAAATTTAAATAAAAGCCGACAACAAACCGTATACAAATGCAAATGATTGATAGATTGCAGGCAGGTTTCAGGTTGATCATCACATTTGAGAGGTCTGGCATGAAATTTTGAATCAAAATAAATAAAAAGTTTACAAGTGGTTTATTTCAGCTGTTGTTGAAGATTTGCCTATGTTTTTTAGACTTCAAACTACAGGATTACGGTAGAAAGGGCATAAAAGATGAGCAAAGTGGAGATCTCAAAAATGTGGATCTTAATCTGAAGCAAAAAATCGAAAAAACGAAAATTCTGATGATCGTCGAAAAGGTATTGTTTAGGAAATTAAGGCGCTCAAAAAGACGACAATAAGTTCGTAAAGCAATAAAGATCTCTTTTCGTTCAGCTACAAGGCAAGGGGAGTGTGGACGAGACTTTCGAGAGAATTCGAACGGTCCCTCACAAGTATTCCTTGAAATCGCTGCTTCACCTTTGCCAGCTGGATTCACAGAATTCTTTGCATTCTTTGGCACCAAATTCCAAATCATAAAAACTTTAATTATAGATATGTATGCTTTATTCAAATGGCGAATAAAAGCGAGTCAGATAATCATAGACACACATAGCATATTGCCATAATAGAAAACGTAGTTTCAAAGTCTGAAAGTCAAAAAGTCTGAAAAATTACCAGCGTAAAAGTACAGAGATACAGATTCAAAAAGGTTTAAAAATAGGGCAGATTTGACATAGCTACAAGATCTAATTCGTCTACAGATTACTTCATTAAACCGGCATGCAGAAGGCCAAAAATTTAAGAAAAAAGGACTCCGTGTAAACCAAGTAGATGCAACTCGTCTTTGGGCCATTTCGGCGGCGGGAGCACGAACATTTTCATCGAGCGTTGAACGTCGAATGTAATAAAAGACATTCTCGTTGTGTCCTCGGAGAAGCCCGTTTGGATCCAAAAAGAAGTTTAGATCCAAATTCCTCCAAGCGAGCCGAATAGCGACTTGAAGTTCAGCAGTAGATGATAACTGGTCTCGGTTTCTGTAAACTTCCCCAGCCACGATGCCAGAGGTTCTCAATGGGGTTGAGATCAGGCGATCGACTTGGCCAATTCATCGAAGCTACTCCATTAGCCGTCATTCATTGCTTTGTATGATTGGCTTTGTGAATGCTTTTCCTGCTGGAATTCCTAATTTACTTAGGGATTCTGGGCCAAAAATAGGAGCAGGCCGGTGGCCAAAACATCTATGTAATCGGAGTAGTCATTCGATTAGAAACGAACTGCAGATCGACTTGTCCTTCGGTACAAAACGCAGCCCAGCACATCACACTACCTCCTCTAAAGTTCCTTGGCCCAAAATAGATCGAAAGCTTTTCTAGTTCTCTCCAGTAGTGATCCATCGAGATCATCAAGGTTCCATTTATTCTCGTCGCTGAAGATCGCTCTGAAGAAAGCAAATGTAATCCATTTTTCTGATAGTTTAGAGAGAAGCTCAAGTCGTTATCAAAATTTGTCATCCGAAAAACCAGTACTTCTGGTCACCCTGTATTATTCAAAGTTTTTCAATTTGTTGATCTGTTTTATCTGTTGTTGTCTGTCTAGTCTGTCTAGCCGTTGTCAACTCGCAAAGCAACTTCCTAGCGATTATCGCGATTATTCCTCGTGGCATATTTCCCGTTTCACTGAACTTTTAAAATTCATAACTCATAATGAGTATAATGTGGGATTATATGTGAATAATATAACAATAACATTTTTATTGAATCAACAAAAAAAAAAGATCAAACGATCAAAAACGATCAAACGGAACTCTTTTGACTCGTTGAGGCTTCAGTTGGCCTAGGTACAGAAAACAGAAACATTGCCTGACCATTTCCCGAATTTTCCGGTGGGAAGCAACGGAACTTGATATCCTCAGTTATGCCTTTCTTCATGATGTAATCGATTGAGGTTTTCTAAATAATTGCCTTTTTTTTCCATACATTATAGTAGGTGTAAGCTGTATGTTTGTGTCTTTACAGCAACAAATAATCGTCATCACTAGCATTTCACTATCATAGTATTACGGCTAACATTTAGACCAAATGGAAAATATTTAACAATAGGAAACTTTCGGGTTAAAGCATCAAAAGGTGTATGAAACAACTTCCTGTTCAAATCAAACCTTTCCGGACCAGTAGTGGGTGGCCACATGCGAACCATCTTTAGTCGGCTTCAGTACATCTTCAAACGCCGTCTTTTGCAGATCTGTCAGATTTATCTTTTTGAAGATTAAAATCACCATCGGCGATCATCCGACGTGTTTCTATAATTTGGATGAACTTACATGGAGATCACCGCACCTACTGAGATTTCTGAGGTATTCGATTAGTTTGGCTTTTGTGGTTTTGTTAACAGGAGGGGCCATAAACACGCAAATCATTTTGTGATTGTCATTTCCAAATTTAAATGTGGCAGCGA